GGCTGTGACTTTTGCAGAGAGCACAATATGGAAGGGACTTGTGAGATCATTCCCTTGTCTGGCAATTGCCAGAGATGCCAGGAGTATAGAGTCAGATGCAGCTTTCAATCACGTGAGCTGTCTTTTTTCCACCCTCACTCTGCTGACACTTTGCCTGCACTGACATCTTTGTATTCACCTTTCCTGCACAGGTACAACATTGATTGAGACATTGTACCAGAATATAATGGAACTCAGAACCAGGCTGGCTTTGAGGGAATGGGCTGTCAAGGAGCGTGAGGAAGAGTACAACAAGTTGTCAGAGGAGTATGAGAAAATCAAGAAGAACTATGCAGAATTATTTGACATTGCTTATAAGAACAGCCCCTCTGAGCAAGCTGAACAACCTGAACAATAGTCCTCTGACTGCTTATATTTAACCATCTTGTAAAAAATAAATACACGCTACATTACAAGTTATACACGCCCGGTAGGAATAGCTATACATGACTTAAAATTACACACTACAATACACGTAACACATACATAGTAGGAATTGTCATATTATACAAGATTCATCCAACATCCTGCTCATTCAATGTCATTCAGCCTTCCAAATGCCCAAATTCAGCCCTTTTTCAGTCAATAAAGTGACTCACTTGCTCATTCCTCAGACCCCTCAGACCCTCCACCAAGAGAGGGGTCTGAGGGGTCTGAGGAATGAGGGCTCATTCCAGGCGCTCCTGCTGTTAGGTCATTTGGGAACACTTTTTTTCAGTGGTGTTACCTTGTTACCTCCTCACCCAAATTGGGTAACAGGCGCCACGCCCAGGGCTCTGCGGGCCCTGGCGTGCACTAGAGAGTGATTCACTTCTTCTCCTTGAATTGATATTGTATCAGCCTGTATTCAGCCCAAGGAGAGGAGTGATTCAATCCTTCTCCTTAGGCTGGGTGTTGTATCCACCCACAGAGGAGCATTGAATTTTCAGGAGAAGAAGCCGATCCGTCTTCTCTTGATGAACTGCATCAGGCCA